TCTGACTAATCTTTCCTGTCCCCTATTGTCCCTCCACCCTTGGCCTTATTTCTCTTCCCTGACCTTTCCTGAACCTCTGGAAGGGGCCCGCAGGGACCTAAGAGGGGGGCCTAAGAGGGTGGACAGAGAGCTTACCATGGGTTATGAGATTTAGGGGTTCAGTCCCTTAACACAGTACAAGTAAGGATGACAACTTTGATTCCAACCAGAAAGAGTCTTGATGTAGGATAAGGGTGGAGAGCTGAGCAAGAGAACTAGGTGATGGAAGGGGACCTCCTTTTTTTGTGGTGAAAAGATCCGTATCTTCTAGCAGATTCTCAAAGTGATCTGAGACCCCCTCCTCCCCCAGAGGAACGTAAGAAAAATTACAGAGCGCAGGGAGTGAGGAGAAAAAACATTTAGGCAGGGGGAGCTATTCAGCTAAGGGTGACAGAAGGTCTGCCCAGTCTTGACATATGTAGCTTAGATAATTGCTTTGCTGCTCTGGGCCTCAGTTTTCCCATCTGTACCTGGAAGGGGTCAGGAATTATCTCCTGCCCCCACTGTCACACATAGGCCCATTGCACTGTGATATTCTAAGAGACTAAGGTTCTCTGCTGACTTTGGGGGGTTTGATGGCTAGCAGATTTTAGGTAGGGGAGAAGGGGGTGATCTGAAAACCCCTCCTCCAGGACCAGCACCCCCAAGACAGAGGAGGGTTGGGTAGGAGGGAGGAGTGAGTGCCTGGCTGGTTCCCCTGCAGGAAATTAGCAATGAGAAGTGTATTTCCTCTGGCTGCAGGAAATGTCTCCTGCCTGTGTACCAGCTCCTGCCTCAGCCAAGCCCTAGGGGTCGACAGAAGGGACTCCCAGCATTCTCAGTGGGTGCCTCCTCCTATTAAGAACTGGTTCGTTTCTTGTCTCAGTCCTTGAAATAATAAGAATTATTCAAAAATACTCTACATTTTGGGGATGATATCACATTCTACCAAAGATTTTCATATCTCTGATGTGATTAGTACAAAGTGATTATGTTCCCCTTTACAGAAGGAGAAACTGAGGCTCCTGAAGGAGAAGTAATTCCCTTAGTGTCACAGGAGGAAGGGGAGAGAGAGATTGAGGGGCAAAGAGAGGAGAAAGAGAAAGGAGGACATGGGAGAGGTATTTCAGTGACTCTGGTGGGACACTGCAATTTGGAGGGATCAAATCTCACTGTTTTAGCCAAGAGTAAACCCCCACCCTTTGCATCTCCACTGCCCAGAAGCCTCTATCCGTGAGCCTCGGGCCTGAGCTCTGCCTCTGAGGCCCCCAGAGGGGTTAGGACTTACTGAGCAGGAGTCAGCTCTGACCTTTCAGAGTCGATTATAAAGCACAGATTCTGTGCTTTTCATCTCTGCCCTGTCTGCCCATCCCCTGGGTCCTTCTCACCCTGTCTGAGCCTGAGTTGGAGGTGGTGCTGCCTCACGCAGAGAGGCTTCTGCAAAGCTTCTGGAGTGACTTCTGTGTGCAGTCATTTATCGAGCACCTACTGTATTCTGGACCTTTCAGGGTGCTGAGGATACAGCAGAGAGAAGATACACAAAGTCCTTGCCCTCCTAGAAAATATCCATTCTAGACAGTGAGACAGACATAGATAAGATCCACGGTGATTCAAGGAGAAGGTCCTAGAAGGGAATTGGGCAGGACTTTGGGTGGAGAATGACTCCCTAAGGAAGTGAGGGAGGTGAGTGGGCTGATCTTAAAATGTGAAGGAAGAATGTTCCAGACAGAAGGAATAGTAAGTGAAAAGATTTTGAGGCTGGAAAGGTCATTTGTTGAGCCTGCTGAGGCACGGAGGACACGTGGGTGGGTCTGCTGGGCTGCTCCCGTTGGTTAGGCAGAACCTTCTCACCTGGGCAAGGAGTTTGGTTTTTACTGCAAGTCCATTTGGAAGCCACTGGAACATTTCAAGCAGGGAAGCAACAAGAGCTGATTTCCATGTTAGAAAGATCTTTCTGGCTGCCATGCCGGAAGTGAGTTGGAGGAAGTCAGAGTGGCAGCCAGGAAAAGCAGTGTCTATGCTACACCAAAGGTCCGAGCAAGCAGTGATGGTGGTACAGAGTGGACAGTGGCAGGGGTTTTAGAGACACACACGGATACAAGATTCAGTTTCCTCATCTGTTCAACAGACTCAACTAGTAGTTTTCTTTTTCTTTCTTTCTTTCTTTTTTTTTTTTTTGAGACAGAGTCTCACCTTGTCACTGCCTGGTAGAGTGCCATGGCGTCATAACTCACAGCAACCTCAGACTTCTGGGCTCAAGAGATTCTCTTGCCTCAGCCTCCCAAGTACCTAGAACTACAGGCACCAGCCACAACACCTAGCTATTTTTAGAGGCAGGGTCTTGCTCTTGCTCAGGCTTGTCTCGAACCTGTGAGCTCAGGTGATCTGCCCACCTTGGCGGCCTAGAGTGCTGGGATTATAGGCATGAGTGACTGTGCCCAGACCTTTTTTTTGTTTGTTTTCTTTATTTTATTTATTTATTTATTTTGAGACAGAGTCTCACTTTGTCATCCTGGGCAGAGTCATGGCATCATAGCTCACAGCAACCTCAAGCTCTTGGGCTTGAGCAGTCCTCTTGCCTTAGCCTCCTGAGTACCTGAGACTACAGTCATGCACCATGATCACTGGCTAGTTTTTCTATTTTTAGCAGAGATGAGGTCTCACTCTTGCTCAGGTTGATCTCAAACTCCTGAGCACAAGCAATCCACCTGCCTCAGCCTCCCAGAGTGCTAGGATTACATGGGAGAGCCACTCCATCCAGTAACAACTAGTGGTTTTCAAAGTTCGTCCTGGGGATTCTTCAGAAGTGGCCTCCCCACCCCCACTTAATTTCACCCAGAGCGCAGGGCAGCTTATCTTTTTCATTTAGATTAGGTTTCCAATTAAGATTCTCTTTTTGTGGGCAGCACCTGTGGCTCAAAGGAGTGAGGCACCGGCCTCATATGCCAGCGGTGTGTGGGTTCAAACCCAGCCCCTTCCAAAAATGGCAAAGAAAAAAAAGAAACTGAATCTTTTTTTTTTTTTTTT